AAGATCCCTAAGTCGAATATAATCACGGTCCAGTGGAAAAGTTACGTGTTTGCTTGTGGGGAGATCGTTGAACGGAAGCTATTTTAACAGCCATTTTTTACTGCTACGATTTTAAGTGCAACGATCTCTCAGGAATGAAATTTACGGTCGTCCATTCATTGTTTTTTTTTACTGATTCGATTTAACTATTCGCGTGATGATTAAAATAAAATTTTTTCTTTTTTAAAATTAATTATTCATCGATTTTTTTAAATTAATTACATCGATAAATTAGGATCATTATGAGATTAATTTAATTAAAATGATTCGTAATAATTCGCGTTATTGTGATATTACGCTCAATAAAAATGAACGGTGCTAAGTGAAATCTGTGTAAAATAAAGTGTACAAAAGATGCGTAAAAATTTTTCTAATTAATTTTGATAATGAACGTTTTCACTCGTTGCTTATTATCTTGATCTCAATGGTCTTCCGGTAGAACTAGAACCACTTTTCTAGCTTGCGCAAGGTTTCGAAAGAAACGAAAAAACAAAAAAAAAAAAAAAAAAGGTTTAACCGTAATACATAAGATATGTGCAAAGACGAAGGTCTCGAGTTTATTTTACGTTGAATGTTGCGACAATTAATTATTAGGAAACTATGTGAAAGGATTTTAGAACGTAATCGGTTAGCGTAATTGGTAAAACGGGTTACTTATGGGTGCCATTTTTTTTTTTTTTTTTTTTTTTTTTTTTTTTTTTTTTTTTTTTAATTTTCTTTTTCAAGTCAACGAATATGGAACAATTGTTTCTTTGAAACAAAGAATTTCAATTTATTTTTCCTTGACCATTTAAATGGTCCAGGAAATTTCCAATTTAAATGTTGATACGTATATTAAAAAAAAAAGAAAATCGATTTTTTTCGTTTGTCGATCATCTCATCGCATATGAAAAATATGATATCGATAAAACTTGACTGTTTTCCGCTCGAGCTTTTTATGTCTATTTTACGTTTTGCACGTCTCATTCAGATAAAAGAGATCACCAGTTAACGCTTGTTACTGAAAGTTAAAGACGTTCAATTACTATTCAGAATGAGTTGCTAATGCAAGACTATTGATCGTAAACTTTAATGATAATTCGCCTCTCTTTTATTCCCATAATATTGCCAAGAATTGATGAAATAAAAGGAATAAATATAGGAAAATTTATTAACGAATATATCCATTTTTTGCCATTTTGTAACAATTATTGCCGTCATAAATCGTCATACGTTATAAAAAATAAACGTATTTTACGTATGATGAATGATTTATAATTTATGGGGTTCAGAGATCGTAATAATTATAGCTGATGCTACTTTTTTTTTTCTTTTTTTTTTTTTTTTTTCTAATTCGCGTTAAACGGAATAAAATAATGATATGATATTATTCCTCTCAATTAATTTTTTATCTAATCAATTCAAGGAAATTACAGGTATTTCGATTTTTAGTGACGTCAATTATTTTATTTGTTATTATTAATTTTAATTTACAAGGTAAATATATTTGTCGTAAATGAAATGGGAATATGAAACGGAAATTTACAGAAGGATACAGAGGATTAATAGGGTAATCATACAGTGATACTTTGACATTTTCTTGTCAACTTTGATATTTAATATTAGGATATTGTCCATAAAAATAAATTTAATGGGGAATATCCTCGATACGATTGTATGTCACTTCCTGTTCATCGTTAAGTACAGGTACAGTTATACGCAGGTATAACTTTGAGGGAAACACGATCGTAAAATTATTCACGCAGAAATTATT